GGCTCCGCGCGTCACGTGACCGCGCAACCTGGCAATCACCTGGGAGGCGGGGCGTGAGCGCCCTTCACCGCCATTTTGCTAACGGGAAAGGTGAAGGGAGGGGAAGGCTTTCAGCGCTTACAGGCAGCCCTCCGCCCTCCCTCCTCGTGTTGAAGTTGGTGCCTGCCATTTTGAGAAAGGGCAAGGCGAGTTCCGGGTGGCGGGACGCGCACTGCCATGTTGGAATTCGGCACTGGATAGCGAGTGAGGCCACCGAGGAGCCATCTTGGGTGTGGGAAAGCTGCTGCTGTGAGGCGAGGCGGGTGTGTGTGTCGCGTCTAGACAGGGTTTTTTCTGGGAAGACGCGGCGAAATTGCGTTTAGTGCAGTATAGGCAGCCTAGCTGTGAGGGCTACACCAGACTGACTTTTTTTTGCGCAGCCTCTGGCAAGGCACGGCCGTTTTCCAGCAAGACGAAGGGTGTTGCCCAGTGAATCTCTCATTTCCAGGCCCTTGCAAGCAGCTAGTTCCCTGGTTTTGTCCCGCTCTCAGGCTGCCACCAAATCCCTCATAAAGTAGGCAAAAATCGCCACTTTGAAGGAGAAAACCTCCACGCCTTGTGAGAAGACCTTTGGTTGTTTGCGCAGGAGCAGGCAGTGCAGCTGGGAGTGGCCCTGGGGCACAGGGCCAGCCCCAGAGAGGCCTCGCCCTGGAGCCCTGGGCTGCTGGCAGCCTCACAGGCTTCCCCGGGAATCCCAGTTAGGCCCAGTTAGACCCGCAGCTGCCTCAGGAGGACCCCAGAGAGGGGTCCTGAGAGCGGGTTATGACCTGTGCTGCTAGCGGGGCTGAACCAGCCTTTCTGCTGCCAGCCGCCGCCGGGGCACCCTGGTGGGCAGCTGGATGGTGGCGTGCCACACGTTCAGCGTCTCCGTGAGAGTAGCCAGGGTGATCCCTTGGGTGCCAGCTCAGGAAAGCGTTCGGCTCAGAGGAAAAGTAGTCAGGAGACTGGTGATTGGCTTGATTATCCTATAAAAATCCTTAAAGGGGAACTATCTGTTTGCTGACCTCGGTGTTTTACAGAGGCGATGCTCCACGTGATTAAGGAGGAATGAGGCACCGGGAGACACAGTGGCTGACATCATGCGGGCACTGTGTTAGAGAGCCATGGAAAAGCCCAGGTTTTACATGTTTCTGTCCATAAAGAATGCTGTTATTCGAGCCTGTGCCTCTCTTGTCCATGTCATTGAGAGATCTAATGTCTCAGTAATGACATTACCCGACTGACGTTTCCTGTTTATTTCTTTTTTAATAACAATACCGAACACTCACAAAACATTTTGCACTTTACAGCAATATCAGGCATTAACTAATGAACCTGCTCACACCCAAATGAGCTACACGATGTCATTATTACATGCAGAAGGACAGAGTGTCTTCCTCAAGGCTACAGTGAGTCAGTGGCAGAGGTAGATTTATGCCCATGGTCCTAATTCACATTCATTCCAGCAGACTATACAGCTTTGCATGCCTGGAAAGCTTGCAAAACCGTCATGAATGTTTAAGTGGTTAATTCTGATAATTTCTTAAATTAATGCGTCAATTTATTACAGGTAAAAGGCTTCAGCTGTAGAATTCAGTCTCTTTATCACTCATAGCAGCCTAAAAGTGTCAGCTTTCAGAACTCATATTTCCATCCTATGATGTGCTTAGGACCATCGCTTTTCAGCTGGTATAGAAAACCACTATTAGAATCTGTTTTGGTGGAAAGTAGAGGATATTTTGGTGGGTCTCAGGACTTTTATTCCTTGTTAGGAATCTCTACTTTGCCTTTTATATGATTTTTTTCTTTACAACTTTGTCTGTGACCCAAGAATGTGTGATCTGGAAGCTTTGTAAACCCAAACATAACCAATAAAATTATTGAGGACTTAAAGAAAATATTCATTGCTTCTTTTGTAGATAAGATATATTTCCACTGTGAATGCTTTTCTATTTCAATTGTTCTTTCTTGATACTACTTTAGTCTCAGCGAGCCTGAAGACCACTTCTTGTTCTGAGATAACTGATTTGAGATGCTGTGTATGTCCAGATCTCAAAAAAAAAAAAAAACCAAAAAAAAACACCACAAAAAAATATGCTGCTTGCATCAGAAATTAAATTCTTCCAAACTGGCTTAACCAAGAGTTGCTTTTTGCATACAGCTTTCCTTCCAGAATTTATAAAATGAATCATCTGCCCTCCTACTTCATTTGATCCTTTAGTCCTACTATCAGTTTGTTCTGGTTTGGCCTGGATAAGTGCCACGTGCCCACCAAAACCACTCTATCACTCCCCCTCCTCAAGCTGGGCAGGGGAGAGGCTTGAGAGTTGAGACAAGGACAGGGAGAGATCACTCACCAATTACTGTCACAGACAAAACAGACTGAACTTGGGGAGAAAAGGGAGTTTAATTCAGCACCAATCAAATCAGAGAAGGATAGTGAGAAATAAACCCAGATCTTAAAACACCTTCCCCCC